TCCTTTGTAAAAGATTGATGTCAAAAAAACTTGCCAGTAATGTATAAATTATATTTTTTTAGTCTTAGCCTCGAGCTCTAGGGGTACCATCACATTTTTTTGCCAAATTTTAAATTTTTCAAAAAACTTGCCAAATTTGACATGGATACTTATATTTGGATGTAAAATCCTCTGTAAAAGTTTCATGTCAAAAAGACTTGTCAGTAATGTCTACATTATAATTTTTTTTAGTTTTGGCCTCAAGTTCTATGGATATTTTAAATTCATTAAAAAATTTCCCAAATTCTACAAGGATATTTCTATTTGCATGAAAAATCCTTTCTAAAAGTTTCATGTAAAAAAGACTTGTCAATATAAATTATAATTTTTTTAGTTTTGGCCTCAAGTTCTAGGGGTACCATCACATTTTTTTGCCAAATTTTAAATTAATCAAAAAATTTCCCAAATTTGACATGGATATTTCTATTTGCATGTATAATCCTTTGTACAAGTTCAAAAAGACTTGTTAGTAATGTATAAATTATAATTTTTTTAGTTTTGGTCTCGAGCTCTAGGGGTACCATCACATTTTTTGGCCAAATTTTAAATTTCATCAAAAAATTTCTCAAATTTGACATGGATATTTCTATTTGCATGTAAAATCCTTTATAAAAGTTTGATGTCAAAAAGACTTGTCAGTAATGTATAAATTATATTTTTTTAGTCTAAGCCTCGAGCTCTAAGGGTATTATCACATTTTTTGGCTAAATTTTAAATTCATCAAAAGATTTGGCAAATTTGACATAGATATTTATATTTTCAAGTAAAATTCTTTCTAAAAGTTTCAAGTAAAAAAGACTTATCAGTAATCTCTAGATTATAATTTTTTTAGTTTTGGTCTCGAGTTCTAGGGGTACCATCACATTTTTTGGCCAAATTTTAAATTTATCAAAAAACTTGCCAAATTTGACATTGATACTTATATTTGGATGTAAAATCCTCTGTAAAAGTTTCATGTCAAAAAGACTTGTCTGTAATGTCTACATTATAATTTTTTTAGTTTAGGCCTCAAGCTTTAGGGGTACCATCACATATTTTTTGGCCAAATTTGAAATTCATCAAAATATATCCCAAATTTGACATGGATTTTTCTATTTGCATGTAAAATCCTTTGTAAAAGTTTGATGTCAAAAAGACTTGTCAGTAATGTATAAATTATAATTTTTTTTAGTTTTGGCCTCAAGTTCTAGGGGTACCATCACAATTTTTTGGCTAAATTTTAAATTAATCAAAAAATTTCCCAAATTTGACATGGATATTTCTATTTGCATGTAAAATCCTTTATAAAAGTTTGATGTCAAAAAGACTTGTCAGTAATCTCTAGATTATAATTTTTTTAGCTTTGGCTCGAGCTCTAGGAGTACCATCACAATTTTTGGCCAAATTTTAAATTTATCAACAAACTTGCCAAATTTGACATGGATACTTATATTTAGATGTAAAATCCTCTGTAAAAGTTTCATGTCAAAACGACTTGTGAGTAATGTCTACATTATAATTTTTTAGTTTTGGCCTCAAGCTCTAGGGGTACTATCATATTTTTTGGCCAAATTTTAAATTCATCAAAAAATTTCCTAAATTCTACATGGATATTTATATTTGCATGTAAAATCCTTTGTAAAAGTTTCATGTAAAAAAGACTTGTCAATAATGTATAAATTATAATTTTTTTTAGTTTTGGCCTTGAGCTCTAGGGGTATTATCACATTTTTTTGGCAAAATTTTAAATTCATCAAAAATTTGCCAAATTTGACATGGATATTTATATTTGCAAGTAAAATCCTTTCTAAAAGTTTCAAGTCAAAAAGACTTGTCAGTAATCTCTAGATTATAATTTTTTTAGTTTTGGCCTCGAGTTCTAGGGGTACCATCACATTTTTTGGCCAAATTTTTGTTAGAATAATAGACCAATGCTAGAGGGGGGGTGAATAGCGTTTGATCAAAAAATCGCAGGAATTAAAAACAAATAAAAGAGAAGTAGAGAGAAGAGTAAAAGGCACACCGAATTTACCCTGGTTCACCACAACTTGTGGCTAATCTAGCCTCCTGAGAGACTCTCTCGAGCTACACTACTATCTCGTTAAGCTTAACGGTGCTTAACAAACCCGTACAAGTTGAGAGTTAGAGTCACACGAACCTCAACGAACCTTCGAAGGAAACAACCCTTCCTTCGAATAACAAGAGAAATATTTTCTCTTGTCAAGTGTCTAAGAACACTTAAAGCACTCAAGAACAATACTCTCTTTTAGAGTGGATAATGAGTAACTAAGAACGCTCAAGAACACAACACAAACTTCACAAGAATGGCTCTCAAAAAGCTATGAATAAGGGAAGAATGATTTGCAATGAAAGAGTAGGAGTTGCGAAGAAAATGTGATGTGTAAAACAGACCCAAACACCCCATTTTATAGTGGAAAAATAGGCTCCAACGGATCAAAACATTTAAGGGGTGATTGGCATAATTTGTGGGATTTGATTAAATTTGGATCTGCTGAAATTCACCGAGACAGCGCTATCCTAAGCTTGGACATTGCTGTTCTAGGCTTGGGTTTTAAAAAAATAGGAAGCAACGGCCATGCCAACAGCGATGTCCAAAAACCCCTACATCGTTGTTTTGGCTGTTGACTTCCAAACAAGGAAAGTTTTAGCCTTAAATTCCCTCCAACGGTCAGGTCCCTACATCGATGTTCATTACTTGAACATCGCTGTTTAGGTCTGCCTTTGAAGGTGGAAAGTTTGGCCTGACAGCGCTGTTGCTGGGACAACATCGCTGTCCAAAAACTTTCTGCCAGAAGCGATTCTTTTTGGCTTAAGTTGGACAGCGATGTAGGGAAGTCTACATCGCTGTTCCAGATGTTTCTGGAAACCCAACTTTGGCTCAACAGCGATTTCTAAAAACCAACATTGCTGTTGGAGGACACCAACATCGCTGTTGGTTGCACCAACATTGTTGGCAAAAATATCATAGATTTTGATGATGATGTATTTAGAATGTAATAGGGACTTTAGGTCTCCCCCAATATTCAATGTAATTTTTCTTTTTAGAAATATTGTTAAAACCAAGTTCTTGAGATTTCCAAAAAGGTTGTGATATTTCTTTAAGCGTTTTGATGCCTGAAGACTTAATCAAATTCAGTGATATGGAAATTGGATATCTTGATCGGAAAAGCTAGAGACAAGTAAGAATTTCTCAAGCAGATGAAAATCCTCTAATCCGGAAGACTACATAAGAACCGGATGTCTCGCTACAACCCGCTGAAGGCTAAGTCACCCAAATCGGAAGACTAGCGCGGATCTCTTTCTCACCCGGAAGTCTGAGAATGACTCCTCCGGATTTTTCAGCTAAGAACCGGATGCCTCAAGGAAGACCAAAATTCTCAAAAAGCGAACAAGTGAGAAAAGACTTAGAAGATTATCTATGTCTTGAATGAAGAAATTCTACCCGTTGGTAAGGAAAAATCAATCTCTTGATTTTCAACGGATAGATTGAAGATAATTATGCTGATTCAAGAACAAATGACTCGAAGACAAAGTCTGAACCTCTGCCACTTTGAAGAACCTGTCAAGAATTCCTAAACAAGCACTAAAAGACAAACAGAGTAAAGTTCCACAGTCCAGAATACTTGAACAGCAGCTAGAAGACGGACTCTATTGAAAAAGGAATCTCTCCTTTAACAAATGGGTATGTCCAAACACCCATTCCAATGAGGAATCTTCAAATCACAATCTTCATTCAAAATTGAAGCCAGCAAATGCAACAGATAGTCTATTTTGATTCAACGGATAGATTATCCAATCCAGCTATAAATAGCATCCTTGGAAGACTGGAGAAGATACAACGAGATACAACAACACAACAAAGCTATCTCATTCACAGTTAGTACAAAAAGGCTTGAAAAAGAGAGATTTCTAAACTCCTTATCCAGAAGCAAACTTTTCCTCCTTCCAAAGAGCTATAGTGTAAACACTTGAAGGTTTCCTTGCCTCAAGCACCACACCACGTTGAAGGATATTACTTTTGATCAAACTTATTGATTAAAAGGGGATAGGTCAACTCTCTTACAAGTTGATCTTACAAGTCCTGTTGTTCGGACCTTGCAGTTGTTGAAGAAGCGTGACCTTCGAAGGAACAACAAAGCCAGCACGAGTGCAGTAGCAACATTGGTCTTGTGAAGATATACCGTGCAGAAATTCACACAAGTGTAATTGTTGGTTCATTATTCAACAACCAACTACATAGTGGATTTTGAGGACGTAGAAGGATTACCCCACCTTCGAACCTCGTTAAAGTTTGCGTGTCTCTCTCT